GCGGGCGGGCAGCAGATGCGCGACCGGCGCGGACCTTCTGACGGCCAGCTCGCCCCGGCGGAGGGAGGGAGATGCACCGCAAGGGGAGCGCACAGACCGCCACTTCTGTTTAAGGAAGCATAAGGTAAGCCCGCCGCTGCGATCAGACCCCTAACGCTGCCCTCGGCTCTCCCCGCGCGATCGCGGAGGTCTGCCTCGCCACCCTCCTTGAGCGAGGACTCCAAAAAATACCCAGTTCCCCGGTTTTCCCGATGAAAACTTCGTAGGGATGAGCATAAAGCATCGCGCTGAGCGCCAGCGGGAGCGTTATGCAATAGCGTATCTGCCTGCCTGGGAACGGCTATTGCATTCAATAACTTTCATGACAGATAAGGAGAGGATATCGCTATACCCGTGCAAACCTCTACTTTCTTCTAGAAAAATACCACCCTTTCTTCTAATGCTACCTGGTAGGGGCGACGTGTAGCTGGAGGATTTTTGGAAATGCACAAAGTGCTTTAGTTTTTCACATGATTGATTGCAAGGAACTACCACTGCTTATTAACTTCAGTGCTGGGAAGTCCAAACGCAGTCCTAATGAAGTGCTCATAGAACAGGGCAATGGAAGAACATTGGACGTGTTCATTCCGGTAACTTGCACTATAGCACTTCACTAAAAAACAAACAAAACCAAAAATCCTCATCAGGGGCTGAAGCTGCTGCTATTCTGTGAACTGTTATTAGAGAAGCAGTGGTTCTTCCGATTTAATACACTGTTCCACCCCCCGAGTCCCCTGTCACCATCCTCAAACACATTTAAATTGGAGATGCCGTGAAAATGCAGTAGGCAAATGGGACAAAAGGTAGCATGGATCCAGCACCAAAGTCATAGTTCTGGACCTTGCATCTTGCAAGACATCTAAGGCTTCCCACTTAGCATTTCCATCTTGCCTTCCTATTGCTAGTAAAAATCCTCTCCTGTGACCTCAACGTCTCTACTTAATGCCATGTTTACACAGAGTTACAGCAGTGAGGGGGATGCAGGACTGCAGTTAGCTTGGATCTGTTTGGGGGAGGCGGGGGGGCAGCAAGCAAGGGACATCTTGTAATGTTGAAAGCGGAGAATATGTTATCTGCTTATGTCACCATCTCCCGAGGGGTCTGTCCCAAAGGAACTGTGCCCCCCTCTCTGCCACGAGTCAGAATAGGTAATGGAGCAGTTTTGTTTGACCTTGTATGTCTAAGCAGCTGAAATCCCCACACGAACATCACGGAGGAAAATTTAACTCATTAGGCTCTACGGTCGGGAAGTTTGGAAAGACCTGCTTTTCCAACCTCCAAGAATCATTATTTTTCTACTGAATGCTGGAAAGCGGTAACAAAAGACAAAACAGTAACAGGTCATGTCTAATATAAACTGGTGTTTATTCCCTCCGCTTAAGTGTTTCATTGTGATTACTGTTCGTATTTACAGTGCTGTCAGGAATGCTGCATGTATCAAGGTTAAAATCTAGCTGCTAGATAAAAAAAACTACTAGCTAAAAAAAAGATAAATTAAAAAAAAAAATTCATGACATGTAACTGTCCTAGCCATGTACTCAGAATAATTTAATGTAAAATTTCAAGCAAACATACCTACAGTAAAAATATGATGAGCATGGAGAGTAACATATTTCCTTGCTTTTGGTTGGTGTTGTACCGATTGGTGTTGTACCAGTCTGCTCATGCCTGCCTTTCTTTACTACAATAATACTGTTCTCTTCAAGTACAAATAACAGTTCCAGGTTAAAAGCTGGATTTTTTTCTAGCATTATAAATGCATGCGAGCAGCTCAGATGAAAATATCAGTGCTCAGATATTACTAATTTATCATCTGGAGGTTCATATTCTATACAGTGATGGCATACAGTCATTGATTTCAATAGAAATACATAATGTATACTGCTAATCCAAATACTCATACTGAACAGTTGTAAAATAAAATTACTGCCCCAGAGTTTAAGGTGCTGTTGCATTTAAAGCATAGTGCCTTCATAGCATGAGCTCACTGGGGAAGGCTGATACTAAATAAGCTTTTTTTTTTTTTTTTTGTTAAGGACGTCATGATGCCCTTGATGAAAAATATGCGTCCTTTAGGACTCTAATTATTAATGATGTATATTTTTAACAAGATGCTCAAAATAATTCTAATCTTGAATGGAATCAGTGCCTTTCCCCCAGACTGACACATACAAAACCAGCTGGGCAACAGCACCACAAAAGAAAGTATTAGTTACTTATCAAGAGGGACAGCACTTAACATTCAATGCACCCTTCTACTAATGAAGCTCACAAACAAGTAGCTCATAAGATCATCGCTGCATTTTTTTCCCCAGTTAACTATTTCATTGACAGAAGCATTTTTGCATGAGAGATGCACAGCATATATAATTAATTTTGGGGGAAAAAAAAGAGTAGGTAAGTTCAATGGAGATTAACATATGGAAGGAAAATATGGCTAAGAAGCCCAAGAGCCTGCACAAATGCCGAATCACAGAGCGTGCGTCGTCTTCCTGACATGCACTACCGGGGACCGAACACTATTGGTCACCACAACACACCGTTACGTTACTTGGAAATCCAAACTCAACAACAGATTGCACAAATGACAATGAGATATTAACCCTAATGTTTAATTTATCCTGTTCTAGAGAATTTAAAAGCAAACTTAGCAATACCAGTCCTTTGCAGTGACCAATGTGGTAGTAAAAGCCAGGGAAACCTATTAGCTTGCCAAAAATCTGTGCTAAAATGTATGGATACCTCCACAAAGCTATTGAGCTGTGATATCTCGAGGCAGTTCCTTATCCAACCATAGTCATCTTGGACAGGAAGAACTGAGGATGTGTAGTCACATAATTCATGCATACTTGAGGAAATTACAGTAAATCTAGAATATTTCATAACATAAAAAATTCACATGATTGTTTAAACTAGCTATTAAAAAGGTCTTCTATTCTGTTTTATGCCAGCCACTATTTAAAGAACTGCTGAAAATTTGTGCAAGATACTAAAAAACATGTAAGCAACAAATCTATTTTATAGCACAATACTCCCTTATATTTTTATTAATCAGTTTGCAAATTACAAATTAAATAGGCTTTAAGGAAAGGAGAACACGAGCATATTTTAAGGGGAAAAAAAAATATCTCAGATTGGTGAATTCAGTGGGAGTTCCATATTTAGCCTTCTGAAAAATTGGTGCTTGATTTTATTCGGCTTAGAAAACACTGTATAACCTATGAACAGACACAGGTACGACTCACTAGGTATTGACATTCAATTTTAAACTATTTAAACTATTACTGACCACACAGAATGTGATCAGAGCATTCTCTTATTTTAGTGGCACATCCCCATGTTGAAGTCTATTTAATACAATTTTACTACATTCAGGCAGAAAACAGCCTCTCTGCTGATCCCTTAATACTCGCAAAAATAGTTCAACTTGTTTATACACTTGCACAGCACAGTGTCATGGTGATCAGTGTCTTAAAACTCACCTGCTTTCCAGTTATACATATAAGCACAAGTCTCATAGGCAAAGATAACTGGTTGTTAAAATAGCAATTCCATGATCAAACAGCAACTCTTGGTGTCATCCTCTTTACCTGTTTTTTTCCCTTCAGTGGCAGAAAGACACCAGGCCTGGTTTTACTCCAGTAATAGTTTTTCCAGCCAAATCCACTGATTTCAATACAGAGGAGTGTAGAAGAATAAGGGCCATTTTCACAGTCAGAATCAGACAGACATGGATTTAAGAGCCCTGGGACTGAGGGCCTCCAAGTTCTACGATATTTGGGTGCAGATCTGAACTTCTTAATCTATCATTACAGGAGATTTTTGTCTTTACGGGACAGTGCCGGAACTCTACCAAATGTCAGATTCCTCAGTCCCTGCGCATCGCTGATCATTTGGCCTCAGACTCAGCCCATATCAAAAAACTGTGTTAAACATCTCACAAACGCTACGTAGTTATAGCTAAATATATCTGAGGCTGCAGCAACTAAAAAAGACAGACTGGAGTATGTGACCGTTGGAAGCTGTCTTGGGCACAGCGATTACGAAATGATAGAGTTTTCA